CCTGCCCATGGCAGGGAGGTTGGAACTGGATTATCTTTAAGGTCTCTTACAACTTATGCCATTCTATGATTCTATGAAAACTTGGTTTCAGACATTCTGACCATTGTTGTGTAAATGCTGAGGAAATGCTATGGAGAAGGAATTAGGGGGGACACTACACACAATAATACTTTTATACGAGCTTTATTCTGCCAAGTAGTAAAAGCCAGTGGCAAGTTTAGTCACATGAAAATAAACTTACAGAAACCCAGAAGCACCAGGAGGAATAGTGACTATACAGAAAGCAGAAAGGTCTCAATGTTGGAAAAAATAAAGTCTCTAGATTTCTGCAGATCCTCACGGAAATTCTACATTTTGATATCTCTGACAAAAGTTATGTTGTGCATGCTTTTAAAAACACACAAGATGATTTAATTTTTCTTGCTGCTCACCTGGCTGAGTTCTGCATGCTCTGACAGGACGATCTGGAGGAGGTTCAACCTCCACTTTTTTGCCAGGATCAAAGTCATCAGTTTCTCCTTCAGTGTCACACTGTTCTTTCTCCCTTTTCCTCTTTTTCTCTTCCTAGCATAGCAGGAAGAAGACAGATTTTAGAAGAATGTACTTGGAATGTGTAATCCCACACGCCAAAATGTAAGAGAGTGATTTTTCATTTGGAAAACTCATTCTATATTTGAGCCATGATATGGTTTAAATAAAAGTGCGTACATTTTCACTGTCACTTTTTCAATTTTCTTCTCCAATTAAAACTAATACTGTTAAAACTAATACTGTTCACCTTTTACTTTGTATTTAATATACTTTTCAATCATTTGTTACTGTTCTTTTACTGAAAAGAATGTTAAAACTCTGAAACTATTTGTACGTAAAATTGCATTATGATAAGCTACACCAGAGGGTAAAGGAAGTATAATTTACTATTCAGTAAAGGTCAGTCTGTGTAGCTCTGCTATGATCAGTGTGTTTTTGTTGTCTGGTGCATTAAACAGGAATCAATAAAGCACATGATCAATTAAGAAGCCTGCAAATAACCATAAGAAATCCTCTGTAACAGTGATAACAATTAATGATCTCTTCCTGAACTTCAAAGCAAACACATGCCTTAGTCATTCCTATAATCTTACACCCATTATTCACGCTCACACAGAAAAGCACGCTTTCATTTACCATGCTTAGACTACAGTTTTGTTACTTATCTGTCCACTAGCTTCTTTTGCATGCACTAGTAATGAAGTTCTGGGAGAAAAAAAATCTAAACATGCCTCCTCCACCCCAATTTAGCAAAGGCAAAACAAGTAATTCATTTGATGCTGCAAGATCTTGTATTAAAGGCAGTTGTTTTGCTACATTTCAAGTTACATGCTCTTAGCTGAAACATTTGAAAAAATGTTTGTACAAAGAAAATTTTGCACTATCTGCCCTGTATTCAAGAGCTTCTGAATGATGCTACAAAGATATATCACTTTCAAGAAGCACAAGCCTAACAAATCAGTTCAAAATGACAGAGCTTAGCCATACACACATACAAAGTAGTACCAGAAAACTATCTTACAAGAATAATAAAACTACAGGACTGAAGATAATTAAAAAAGCAGAGATGTCAGAGAATCTGACATCTGTAATCTCTGTACAGAGAATTAGTTCATAGAAGAAATACAATTAATATGAAATTGTACAGGTAACTGTACCATTAACACTGCCTTGCTGATTTCAGTTTCTACTCCTAAAGGTTCAACACAGACAACAAAAATGTGACCACACCATTTGCTACTAACAAAGCCACAAAGCCTAGCATGCAGATTATTCTAAACAAGAGCCAACAAAACTATTGTACCACACTAATCAGAAGATCAGATTTCAAAAAATCGTTTTGAGTAAACATATCAATTCCAATGTTCAATAACTTGGTAATCTCAGAAACAGAAATGCAATCTAGGTTTATTTGAAAAACTGAAAATACCCTCCTCAAAGGGTAGCAAAACATGTTTCTGACCTGGCTGCAATCCAACTTTAAACCAGAAGTATTCATATCTACAGACAAAGCAAATGGATAAGAAAAACAAGCAGTTACAAGAAACAAGCTTTTACTTTGTTCAAGAAATCATCACAGGAACATCTCTTCCAAATAGGAGAAATACACCAACACATACACAGGCATTTGCTACATTTGTGAAGTGCTGTCTCCAAACAATAAGTTTCTTGCAACAGTGAATCAAATGGTACTCTGTACCAGATTTCAGATCTTACCAACAAGCATGAAGAAGACAGGCAATATTGAATTCTAAAAATCACAGCTTACCTTTCTCTTTCTTCTTTCTTCATCATCTAGATGCTTTTCTTTTTCCTTCTCAGACTTTTTTTTCTTTTTTTTCTTCTTTTCTTTATGTCGTTCTCGCTCGTGATCTGATCGGTCATCATAGTAACTAGAATCATGCCCTGACCCAGAAAGTTCAGTCACTTCACTTCCTCCAACTTTAAGCACCAGCTTTAAAGGTTTTTCCAAAGGCTTATCCACATAATCTAAATGAAGAAAAAGTAAAACATTTCATAAATGCACATGGAAATGACAGCACAAGGTAATTATTGATGCTTCCTCTAGAAATGCTCTTTAAAATAATTTGCTGAAGGCTGAAAATATATGCAATGCATCTGAAGAGAAAAATAATACTTAAGACTGACAAATCAAAGTTAAGAAACAGTTGTTCTGCACATCTTACATCATGATTTTCCACAAACCGGTAGTACATAGGGAACTAATCTCTCGGTTTTCCCTGAAAACTTCTCAAGATTCTTGTCAGAGTAAGGCAAAACCAAGCATCAGTCAACCAATCCGTAACACACCAAGAACAGCCATTCGAACCACGAAGACGCCTGGTCTCAAAACACACCACAGCAGCTCCCCAGCACTCGCTCCACAATCCCCGTGCCCCTCCCGAGCCACCTTCGCGTGGACACAACAACAACCCACCTCCTTCAGACCACCACCCACTTCTCTCATTCCCGGTCGGCCAGGAACCCCACAACACCCAGGAACCCCTACAGGACAGCATCAGCGGTCTAGCACCGGGGCGCTCTCCCGTCCCCAGCGCCTCACGCACCCAGACAAGGGCCTTTCCCTCCCGGAGCTCTGGTCCAGCCCAGCCCACGAAGGGATGCCGGGTCCTGCCGCCAGTAGACGCATCCCCAGATACAAAGATAGAGCTTCCTCCTCCGCCCCCAGCTCTGTACAGCTCCCGGTTCTTACCGCTGTACGCGGTGGCGGAAGCCGAGCGCCATTCAGCCTTCTCTGCTTTGTGTTTCTTGTGCTTCTTCCCCATGGCAGAACCGGCCCCTCCAGGCGCGGCCTCCCCTTAGCCCCTCCACCGGAAGCACTCGGGACAGAAGAACTCCTTCCGCCTGTTGCGGAGGAAGATCCAGGTCATGGGGGTAGGGCGAGACTGCCGCTCGCCAGCCCGCCTTTTACGAAAGGGCGGTAGCGGTATTCCGGTGCTTCAGGTTCTCTTCGATCTTAACGGGGGTGTTTTCCGTTTTCTGCGCGGTGGAGGCGCAGCCCTTGCAGCAGTCAGAGTGCTGAGGAAGCAGAGGAGCTGCCCGGCCCCTCCGCTCCCCTGTCGGACCTGTCTTTGCCAGTTGCAGCGTGCCGTTCTTGAGGCCGTGTCTCGCGTGAGGTGATTTCCTGTCCCCACCGTGGAGGTCCGCGAGGGAAGGAGCGGGCCGGTGGTCCTCGCTGCCTGGCGTCGTGGTTTCCAGAGGGAGGAAGGGAAACGTCGGTCCCCGCGATGGGCGGCGTGCACGGAGACGGAGCTCGGCGTCTCCCGTGCCGGGAAGAACTGGCGGTGCCGTTGGCATATAACGGTTGCTGAAAGCCTGCTTCTCTTTGGTATTGCTTTCCCCCAGGAGCGAAGAAATGGATGAAGTCGCTGGGGAATTGAAGCAAGCGCTCCCAAATGTGTGTGACAACATTCAAGTACATGTGGAAGTTCTTCAGAAATCAAACAGGTCTCCAGTCGGAACTTTACTTGTTGTAGTTTGTGTCCTGTTGCATTTTGACCTTGTGCTGTGCACAGCACTCTGCTCTGCCTTCTCTGTACTCTCCCATACATTTCCACACAGGTGTTTCTTCCTACGGTTGAACAAACTCATTTTTCAGCTTCAACTTGTGTGTCATGAGATCCAGTCTCCTATTCAATTCATATTCTGCACTTTTGTACAGCAGAGCCTAAAACCACACAAGGTATTTCAGATGTGGTCTCACAAGTGGCCAGTAGACTGAAAGAATCTCTTGTCCTAACATTTGTGCACAGCCTAAAATAAAGTTGCCTCTTATTGTAGGAGCACACAACTTGCCACTTTGTCCACCAAGTACCCCTCTAGGCTTTTTTCTGCAAAGCTGCTTTTTATCTAGTTGGACTCTGGTCTCTACTGTTTACTTGGCAATAGATGGAGGGACAGGGTTTAGTGTTTGCTTTTGTTGAGCTTCAAGAGATTCTTGTCAAACCATATCTTCAACCTGCAGACCTCCCTTTGATTGGTAGCCCTGCTTTCTAGCATACTGAGAGTTTTCCCTGCTTTGATATTATCCATAAACTTGCTGCAGTTGCTTTTATTCCCATTGCCCATGGTATAAATGAAGATGTAGAAACAGTGTGGATCCCAATATTGCCAGCACTGCTCCACCTTTCCACACCTGATGTGCTGGCAGGTCTGCTTAGTCTTTATACTTCTAATCACAGCCTTTTGAGATGAACAGTTCAGCCACTTTGTCCATTATCTAGTTCTTAGCTTATCAATTTGGCTATGTGGATAATATGGGAGAGTGTATCAAATATCTTGCTAAGTCAAGGTGTAAAATATCCACTGCTCTCATTCTGTCAGAATTAAAAGACAAGGATCTGTGAATCCACACTGGGAATTCATCACCAAAATTGCAAAAGCAAGTTAAAGCCTTTCTGAAATCTTAAAATGGTGTTCCTTTTTTCTGTAGTTTTTGTCTCTTCTACTGGAATTCTCTATATAGCATGTCACCATCCTGAGATACAAGCAGTCCTTAGACATGAAAGCGTAATAGAGCTTCCGAGTTAAGTGTACCAACTTTAGTTGAGTGGTTTTGCTATGATTTTTTCTGTTTTTCCTAGTTGAAACAGAGTGGTTTATTTTGGGGGTTGTATGGGGTTGTTTTTTTTGTGAGATGGAAGCTATTTTCCATGTAGGCTTACTATATGAAATAAAGCACTTTTCTCTTACTTCATACTTTCTTATAAATGTCAATGCCTTAAATAATGTTGTTTCTTTCTTGTTAGTGCGGCCAAGAGAGAAGATATCAGGATGAGTGTATTGAAGCTGTTGAACAGACATAACATCGTGTTTGGTGATTACAAGTGGACAGAATTTGATGATGATTTCCTTAACAACAATGTGCAGTCTGTGTCAATTGTGGATACAGAGCTGAAACTGAAAGACAGACAGGTATTCACAGTCAGGAGTGTACAGCTCTGTTCATATGCCTGTGAACTAGTTGTAGGTAGTCTAGTGATAGCTAAAGGGCATAAACAAGACAAGGTTTCTAGCATGCTGTAGTATCTTTAGTAGCCAAAGTGGTATAACCAGGAAAAGGTGGCTACGGTTGTGGATCTACACCCCTAACTAAGATCTGAAACAGAAGTAGTAGGCTTCAAAGCTGGGTGCACCAAAGCTGTAACTTTTTCATGTTATCATTAGGTTTGAATGATAAATACAATGTATTAAAAGCCTTTCTATGTCTATTCTAGCCTATTGACTTGAGCAAAGGCAGTCTTTCTCTTCATATTTTTCATCTGAATGAAGAAGGACCAAGCTCTGAAAATCTGGAAGAAGAGAATGAGGATATCATTGCAGCTAATCACTGGGTGCTACCAGCAGGTACCTATATGGTATTTCTGGACGGTCTAGAGCAATTACAAGGAAAGAAAATCTTGGAAAGGCTAAAAGCCTTTGTTCTGCAATAGAACATGGCCTGCCTGTTACTGTCTTGTGCTTGGGGAAGTTGTATTCTGTGACTGGGAGAGGAAGTACAAATCTGAGCTTTAACTTAAAGAGAACTGTTCTGAGACATTTCTTGCTCTTTTGCATGTTGTGAAAAGCCTGTAACTATCCCTTACATTTCTCTTTGGGAAGAATTCAATCTGATGCTTTGACATCATTCCCATATTATTGTGGTTTATAATTGTTCAGTCTTTTACTGTTTTTTTTCCTTGCTGAAAGTTAGAAACTAGCAGCTAGAAATGATTGATACCCAAATCACAACTTGCTTTTTTTTTTTTTTTTTGTCCTGTACATGTTAATGTTAACCTGAATGATAAAATTTGGCTTAGAACTCTCCTCCCACCCCAACTTTTTGTATCTCTATATCTTGGGGAAATGTAGGTCCATCCCCTGTTGCAGGTGGAAAGAACGATAGTCTTTCCTTTCATGTTAAGAAATGAGGAAGACTAATTTTTCCTCACAATTATTTGAGGAAACAGAAGTTGTGCAACTGCTGAATTTGTTTGTTAGAAAGTAGTGTTTGCATTTTGAGAAAAATAACTTTTTTTTTCCCCATATATTTTAATTGCTTTCATATATTTGTTCTTAATCCTTAATTTCAGTTGAGAATAATTTAAAAACTGCTTTGTGCTGCAATGGTAGATTACAAGTTTCCAGATTGATTTATCCTAAACAGGTATATAATGTATTGCTTTTGCAGCTGAATTCCATGGCCTTTGGGAAAGCCTTATATATGAAACTGAAGTAAAATCACACGTAAGTTGAAAATGAATAACGATTAAAATTGCTTGAGGAGAAGAGTTGAAATGTAGCCTGTCTGAAGTTTGCTGCATCCCATGGACAGGTTATTTGGAAATCATCAGCTCAAAAAATCTCTATGTAATTTTTGATAGTTACATACTTCTTTGAGAAACACATAACAAAAGAAGTCAGAGCTGATGATTTGAGATTAAACATCATATCTAAGACATACATCAATATGTACTGCTGTAAAGTCAGCTTTGCAAAAACCTCAGTTTCCCAATGAAGCTGGGTTCAGTGGTGCTAATGCTACAAATTATAAATAATTTCTTCATATGCATTGGCTTATTTTACAGACATTGGAAGTTCAACAGCTAGATGTGTTTTGGTAGCAACTTGAAACATCTCTTTCACTTTTGCTTTAGACATATCAGCCTGTGTGAAAAAACTGTGGATGTTCTGTAGAGCACGGTAGAAATCTACTTCATTAAAATGCTGCATCTTGTTTTAAGGCTCATTAATTGCATGTTTTTCTAGAAGGGAAGAAGAAAATCAGTGGACAGAAATTACTTCAGAGAAGCTTAGAAAAAAAATTATGCAGCATTCTTTCAAATGGATTCTCTATTTCTCCATTCTGAAAGTCCCAAAAGATCTGCTGTCTTTGGTGGGGTTTTTTTTTTTTTTTTGTTTTGGTTTTTTTTTTTAATGATAAGGCAATGTTGGTGGCTTGCTGTTGCTAAGAGACATGTGTGTGTTACTATCAGCTGTACTTGCAGTCCTCCCGTTCTACTGACATTCGTTACCTTGGAGTAAACTAACCAAGGAAACTAAATAACTTAAAGCATTCAACTTATTGTGATGTGCTAATTTCCACCTGGTTTTGTCCCATTAATTGGTCCACTGTCACTATAGCTAATGGTCATCTAACAAAAGTGGTTATGACCATTATATCAAATGGTCATGTAACAGGCCAGGCAGAAGGTAATGGGAATTTAATTGTGTGTTTCTGACAGCAGCTAGGTAGTTCTAGCAGTAATGTCAGCCAGTACTGTTACTGTTCATACAAATCCACACTGAATGATTTGACTAGAGTGAGTTCGTTCCCACTTTAATGCTGGTAAGATATTCAGAAGAAACAAAACAGTCCCATGGGTTCGTTTTCTAGTTTGACGATTCTGTGCATTCATCAAAGGTTGCAATGATAACTACCAGTTTGCAGAACTGTAATAGTGGAATCTGAAATCTACTAATTGTGATGTAAAAACCACACGTAGTTCGGTTGCTTTTATGACAGCACTCAGTTTTTTGTGCTTGTTAAAAAAAATTACTTCTACCTGAAGTGTTTGGATACAAATAACTTATTAATTAGCTTGTTTATAATACCATAAATACAGTATTCTCACTTAAGACTTTATAACCATCTATAGTAAAGTAAAACATTACAATGATTGTACTTACTTCATTTATAAGGTAAACGTCAATTAACACATCCACATTTGTCTAATTTATGGAACTGCTTTCCAAATCATTTGTGAAATTACAAGACTGTTTTAAT